CCAACTCATGGTCCTTAGATCTCAGTACAGGCCCTTGAGTAAGGAAGACCCTATTTCGTTACTTCAAAGATTTGAAGTAGAATAAAACTCAAGGGGGGAATGAAGAGTTCTGACTAATGCTGCTCCATTTTGTAGGTGACTTTGTTTAGTGAGAGATGGGTCACATCAGGGGGAGGTTGCAGGAGTTGCAGGGATTTGGCCAACACAGTTGCCAGGGCTGGCCAGATGCTCCCAGCCAGTGGAAGGTGGACGGTTTGCCCACCTGGTGGTCATGAGTGTTGCTCCACCTGGAGGGAACCAGTCCAGGTGGTTGGTGAGCATGTTGGTTGTGGTGAGGGTCAGGTCATATCTGGGCCTGGTCTGCGCATGGCCCGGTCTGTGCACAGTCTGTTCTGTGCAAGGCCCAGTCTGCACACAGCCCGTTCTGCTCTGCACACGGTCCGTTGTGCACACGGCCCACTCTACACATGGCCAGTTCTGCTCTGCGCACGGCCCGCTCTACACACGACCCCATTCCTATGTATAAAAGAAGAATGAACTTGTACTTTGGGGTATCCACCTGCAAGTATGAGACCCCAGCATGCTGGCTACCCAATAAATGCTCTTGCTTTTGCATCCACACATCTCCCGGTTATTTGGAGGTCGATTGCATGGACCCAACAGATAGAACACAAAAACTTAACAAGTGGTAATTTCTTTATAGAAATAGCTGCAGTGTGGAATCCAAAACCACATAAGTGACTTTTTGTTATTCCATTACATTCAAATCTTTGATCTGCATTGCACTTTGAATGAAATTTCTACCCATGCTTAATTTTATAACATCATCCACTGGCCATGCAGAAAAAACTGGCTCATGGTGTTATGCAGATCTCCCAAATGGTAACATCTTTCATTATTTAGTATCAGCTTTATATTTGTTACTTTCAACATCAATTTCATCAGAAGAGTCATTAATATATTGGAAAGATGTCAAACTCATGATGGCAGGTACAAGTTTTACAAAATTCCAAATTCTATCATTGAGGGCAAATGTTGTTTATTGATTAATTTATGTTTAAGTAGCAGCCTCACTTTATTTCTAGAAAATGCCAGCCTAATGCTAAAGTCTGAATAAGATGGTTTTGTCTGTAGTTCTTTTAATTAAAATGCTTTTCCATGAAAAAAAAAGCAGCTAGTTTATCTCACAATCCAATCATGTAAATGCCTTGTACTACTATATGTAATACAAGCATAGTATATGTTTTTGCCATTTCACCAGAGTATTTTAAAAATGTGCATACGAGGATCAAGATTCAGTCGAGCTAATATTTTTTTACTGCTTTCCCATATTCTTTAGTGAAACTGTCTTGTTTGTTTTTTACTGTATGTGTGGGGCAGTAGAGAATAACTATTATTGTAGTTTGGTGTTTATCTGGAAGGAAAAGCTTTTCCTGTACCCCTTAGATTTACCTTTTGGAAGCTTGCGAATTAAACAGACAAAAGATAGATCAGCAAGAGAAAAGACAGATTTTTATTCAGGGACACACTGCAGTTCACATACACAAAAAAGGGTGACTCAAAGAGGTGGCTAGAATTGGGAGCTTTTTAGACCCCCTTATTAGGGGAAGGAGAGAGGGATCCAGGTCTTCACAGGAAAATGACTGACTTCTTAATAAGGGGAGGTAGAAGAGGGGCCCTTGGGGGAAACAAGGGATGTTTTGGAAAGGTACATAGCCTTTTAGGAGTGGGTCTGTTTAGGTGTGGTGTGAAGACTTCTCTCCAGTAGTAAGGCTCAATCTTCCCTGTGTGCTCCAGGGGTGGGGATTTAAGGCAATTGAGTTCTTTTGGGAGGCCTTACTTTTAGGCAGATAAGGCATTTCAGGGGCTCAGATGCCTTCTGCTCAAAATAATTTTTATGCTTCAGTGGCATATTCTGGACCCCTTCAGGGCCGCTCTCTTGGTTAGGGCCACAACACCAGCAGGCTCGCCCACCATTGTTTTTGTATCATTGAGGCAAATACCACATCATTGATAAATGGACAGGGTAAAAGGACAAGTAACATATTACTGTAATTATAAAAATACTTTCGATTTCTCCAACCCCTTTAAAGGTCTGTGGGCCACGAACTTTAAGAAATACCGAGCTAGTGTGGTGTCTTGGAGAAGTAGAGGGGAAAGCTGATATTATACTACAGCCTGAAACACAAATTTCCTCCCAGGTAGGTGGGGAGGAGGGAGGCCAGCAAGTCCTAGAGAGGTGGAGGAAAGCACCTTATGTTTTGGCACCAGCGCTGGGAGGCAGCAAGACTCTAGAAAGGAATGGCTGCATTGTGCACCTTGGCAGACAGTCAATAGGAAACCTTGGCAAAAGATTCTTCTGCTTGGAGAATGGTGTAGGTGCTTCAGAGTGCAGAGGGACAGGGACAGAAGACACCTCAGCTGTCACTTGTGTGGACTGATGGTTACTGATAGAAAAGGAACACATACACACACACACACACACACACACACACACACACACGTATATATATATATACACACCATACACAGGGCCTGGGCACTCTGCAAGGTTCTCAGTGAAACCCCATGGCAGGAAGGCCCCTAGAATGACCATCTTGGCAGAAGAGGGGCTGATCAGATATTAAATGGAGGTATAAGTATTTTTTAATGTTACATCTTACAACTGAGTTTGTAGGCCTAAATTTACTGACTCTTTGCACATCATTTTTTGAATCCTTGACAACCTTATGAAGTGGATCTTATTATTATCATTCCCATTTTATAGTTGGGGAGGCTGAGAGGATAGATGATTTGCTTTGCATACAGACAGTAAATGGCAGAGCAAGGATTAGAACAGTCTTTTTGGAAGCTTGTGCTTCCAGCATACTGTCTCTGTGTGACTTAGTATAGATAATTTCCCTGTTTTCGCTCTCTCCATTCAGCTAACTTCTAACTTCACTGGTCACAGGATCAAGGAGAAAGGAAATAAAAAGCTTGGTTGGCTTATATGTGCCCATTTTTTTGTGGGTTCTTCTAGCCCTGGCATGGAATGATCTAGCAGATCCTGGAATTACTCAGTCTGGAATGATCCCTAGAAGGGAGGGATGGTAAATGCTCAGTGAAGATGGTAAACGCTGCTACAATTACCCAGCAGACTGCCGAGGAAGCTCACGGGACTACAGGTGGTTCGTCCCCCTACTCTCTGAACCTCAGACCTGAAAGGCAGGCTGCCTGGAGAGCTCTGAAGAAGGCGTGATCAGGCCCTGTGAATACAGCCGCAAAGAAGTGAATGTGGCTCCTGTCTGGCATTCCTTTAATTATAGAAACACCATGCCCCTAGCTGGCATACTCCCAGCTTTCCAAGGCACTGCAGAACTTGAAGGCTGTGGTGGTTTTTAAAAAATGTCTTCAAAAATCAAATTCTTTGACACTCCTGCCATCAAGAGCTGGTTTGTTACCCCACTTCTCTGTAATAGGGGCTGGGCTGGCCTTAGTGATCCACCTCCACGGAATTGACTAGGGCAGGGCAATGGCTAGGTAGAAAACAGCAATACGGTTTTTTCCTGGTTCTCTCTAGGGACACTCACCCATGGAACTGAGACCTCATGCCGTGAGGAAGCCCACACCGCATGAAGAACTGTATGCGTGTTCTGGCCAACAGCCCTGCCGAGTCCCAGCTGACAGGCAGCAACTGTGCCAGTCCGCAGACACAAGAGAGGGGCCTTCGAGAAGACTGCAGCCCCACTCACCATCTGACTTCAACCGCATGAAAGAACTCAACTGAGAACCTCCTGAGCCCAGCCAACTCGCAGAACCATGAGAGAACAGCAGTAATAACAGTCGGTGGCTGTTGCTGTTCCATACCACCAACTTGGGGATGGTTCAGTTAGCAGCAGTAGAGACCTGAAACCTCTTCCTCGGTTGCTCTTCCTTTAGTTGCTACTCACTGATTTTACAGATATTTATAGAATGCCTTCTCTGGGCCTTGCTGGTCTTAACATGTTCCTCTTCCCTTCCCTAATGCTCAAGAAGGCAATCAAGTCTTTGAAAACATATGTTCCAGTCCCCAGGCCTAAAGTAACTCAGGAGCTCAGGAATGAGTCTCTCAGACTCTGGTGAGTTGTGTCTGTGGCTGCTGGACGTGGTGCCCCCGTGACGGTGTGTCTCTAGCCAAGGAAGCAATCTGATTCAGAGCCTGAGCTGGGCAGGCTGAAATGGTGGCTGGCCCAAAGTGTGGCAGAGGCTTTGGGTGGGGGTGACACTCCTTACGGCTTGTTGTGTCCTATTTTTGCTGCTATAGGAAACAGGAAAAGCACAGACATGTAAGAGAAGGAAGAGGAGAAGAATTTATGGCAGCAGGAAGAGGAAGGAAAAGCAAGAAGGAGCCTATAGGCAGAGGAAGAGGAGAAAAAGAAGGGGTTATGGTAACAAAAGAAGATAGCCAGAAAGAGAAACTACTGTATTTTAAAACATGCACCTTTGAAAGAGAGGCTCTTAGTAAATAAGAACTAAATATACTGAGCACTTACCAGGTGCCAGGCATTTGCTCTAACTGCTTTCATATAATCTCCTTTAATTTATTCCACATGCCCATGGAGTAGTACTCTTATTATCTGTACCACCACTTTGCAGGTAGGGAAACTCAGAGACAGGGAGGTCAAGTAACCTGCCTAGGTGAGTGGTAGAGCTGGGAATCAACCCCAACCAGTCTGGCTCCAGGATCTGTGCTCTTAATGACTAAACAATATTTGTTCCCATCATACAGAATGTTTTTGAGGCTGCCTCTCTGAACACAGAGGTATATTTGTTCTTTCACAACAGAACAAAGATGGAAGAAAAGGGAGTGTAGATGTGAGAGATAAAAGAAACGAGCTGTAAAATCAGAGACAAAAAAGAGAAAAAAATGTTGCAGGACAGAATGTATAATGATATCCTATTTATGATTTAAGGAAATAGCATGCATACACACAAACACATTCTTCAGAGGGAAGAAAAGGATTTTTTCAGACTTACTGCTTTCCCAAATTGTTTAGTTTTTTGTTTGTTGTTACCGTTATTTTTCAGAGTACTATTTATACCAAGGGTGGTGAGAAAGTTGTTCCTTGGGAAAGAAAAATGTCCTAAATTCCCTAATTCAAAATCTAGCATATTTTGGGGGTGTGGGGAGGGTATGCAGCTAGTTAGGAGGCTTGTAAAATATTTGGGGGAACTTCTTCTGACTCTTCAGTGTGTATATAAGACTTATCAGCACCTTGTGTATGCACAGAAGAACTTATCCCAACTTAAGTAATAAAGGCAATATGAAACTTTCAGATGAGGGTTGCAACTGCTTTTCCTGTTACCTGAATTAACAACTCAAAAACAAGATCCAAGCTGGGATTCTCCGCTGCCCTCAAAAGATAGATCCAAAAAGTTGGGCTGATGGGTGGACAGTGACCCAGTGCCATCTTGGAGCCGGAGCAAAGAGGTCTGGCTCAGCACCAGGTCTCAGTGGGTTCCATTCATAGGTGTGTGGTGTGATTTGTCACAGTCTTTGGTGGGGCTCTGCCCAGCAACCTCCAGGATCTGAGGTGGGGCAAGAGCTAGCCAACTCTCTGAGCTTTCCTCCCTCATCCTGACTGCTGTGCTGTGAGCTGTGAGTGTGTGTTGCCCAGCAGTCAGACCCATGCCAGTCACTTCTCTCTACAGACAAGCCTGGCTGGATCTCTGCTTGCATTCATTGGCAGCTGGGAGACAGAGTGTGAGTCTCTTCCCCTGATGGTAGCACTTAAATCAACAGGCTCCTAGGGACGAGGTGAGCACACCTAGATAATGCAGATAATTGTTATTATATAAGGAATCAATGATGAAAACATTACGCTGGGACAGAGAAAGTGATGCCTTAGAAACAAGAAGATATATTTAAAAGGACTCAACAAACATGGAAAAACTTCCCCAGTAGTCTTCAGCCCTTTTGATTTTCTGTGTCTCAGTATCTCAGCTGGAAGGTAGGTGGAGTAATTAGAAGATGCTAGAATCACCTTGGGACCTAACTGCCCTCCTCCCTTTAAGATACAGAAATCCTGAAGGATCTTCTCACTTGGTTACCCCGTGGGAAGGGCCTTAAAAACATCTCAACATCTAAACTAAAGAGTGTGCATACTGGGGAGTACTATGGTGATTTATAACAGCACCCAGGGACAATTTTTATTTCCAGGCATGAGGATTACACTGATTTACTCAGAGAACCTAGTAGAAGGACTTAATGTAGTAATGTTGCTTGTTGAGTGTTCAGTGGCTTGCAAGACTAATGGGGATTCAAAAACTGCCATTAAAAGGCAGAATTTTATTAAACATAGATTCTCAACTGTGAGGTTCTTCATTTTCAACATTAGGAAGGCTAATTATGCTCCCAGAGTGGTGGCTAAGTTCACCTCTTGAATGAACTAAAAATTCTTTTTGTTCATCAATATTTTAAATGATAAACTTTGTGCTCATGTAAGGAAATTTAATAACAGAGGGGATTTCCAGGTCCCAGTCCTTACTCACCATTAATAGTTTCTTATATGTCCTTTTACAAAATTCCAAAGCTTATATTAAAGCAAACACACTCCCATGTACACACGTCTCAACAAATATAAAAACGTGTATACAATCCATAAATAGGATCATGATATGCATCCTCTTCCACAACTTTTCTTCCTACAAATTAAGTGTATGTTGGGCAATTTCAAACATCAGTAAAATCTATCTGCTACTTAAAAATAAAAAGTTGTTTTCATATTATTCCAATATTTGTATTACTATGCTTTAACCAGAACCTCAGAGTAAGTCCGGGGAGAAGTAAATCCCAGGGCAAAATACCTCTAAAACCGAAATCAGTCAAAGGGAGAAATAAAGTTTAAAATTCGTTTGTTGCTTACAAACTGCAGTCCAGGGCCTTCTCTTTCCTGCTCCAGCAGCAGCAAAACCAGCCCTCCCCCTCGCCTCTCAAGTACAGATAAGCCCTCCATTGCCCAGGTAATGACCCATTGATATAAAGATTAATTTCTCTCCACCCCTGAGGAACGGTGCAAACGCACTAAACTTCTTTCAACCTCTGAACGCCTATTGATAAGCAGATGTACTAAAGCTAGGTGAGATATTCTAGAAATGTTACAATTTTACCCACACTCAGCAATGGACATTTATGTTTCTCATAGTAGTATTTTACATAGGTATTACTTAATTGGCCTTAAAATGTTGCATGATTTACACTCCCACCAGTGGCATATTTTCTGAACACCCCTATTGTCACTGAGGACTATCGACACTTTTCTAATGGTAAAATTTATCTAAGTCAGTTCTTTATGGTAGAAATGTATATACAGTGGAAATGCATGAAATCAGCACTATACCTGAGTGAATAAACCGTAGAACCCCAGGTCGTTACAGGGGAGTCGCTGATTTGTAATTCTCTGTTTTACAGTCCTAAGATTCAGGACTTAGGAAGTATTTTCTCACACAATGCTCTCTACACGTTGGTTGGGTTCACAGGGCAGAAGGCAGTGCTACACTGTGGGCTGTATTAAGCCTCTTTCCCGCTTCTGGGGAGCTTGGACTGAAGTCCTCAAAGTATAAAGCTGTGCTGGTAGTTTAAGACTCTCATCACTGTTTTAACCATGGGGCTTGTTTTTGGAAAATACATTCAAACACCCAGTTTAGGAGGCCAGAAACACATTTGCCCAGCACTGTAGTTCCAGGGGGGTACTTACTGGCGCACTCCCCGACCTCCTCTAGCTGAGCAACACACTCTTCCCCAGAATGTTGGATCTTGGCAAGAAGTCATGCCCTCTTACATACTACCGTTGGCTGAATGAAAGACAAGCTAAGAACGCGAACTGCTAAACGGGAGGAGGGGAAAGCGGAGTGGGGGGAGGCAGATAAGAATCCCCCTCGGCTCTGCAGGAAGGCAAAGGATTTCCGTTCCTTCGCTGGAGGCAAAGATGGCACGGGGCGCTAGGAATAGGCTCAAAATTGTGATCCTGGAAGGGCGTACCCGACCTCTGAGGCTCATCCCAGAAGCTGCCAGCAGGTGGAACGGCCAAGGCAAGGCGTTTTTCCAGTTCCTTGATGTACTTCCTGTCAACCAGCAGTTTCTGTAGATCTCTTGGGTGAGGAAGCAAAATGTTCTCTTCTATGCTGTGGGAGGGAACTTGTTTCCTGGAAATGGCTCTACCATATTTCACCAGAAATACTGCAGAGCCTTTTTGGTTATATTTCACTAGGCTCTGATGATGTTCTACATTCTCAACAGGAGCAAGTAAACTCAAATCTGCTTCAGCATTTTGGGTGCCTGAGTGCACAAAGCATAGCGTGCATACTCTCATCTCCACACACATCAGTGTTTGTTTCTGGAACGAGAAACAGCATTCAATGAACCTAAACACACGTGGGTTTTGTAAAACTATTGTTTTTTAAAAAATAAATCCTTACCTTTAAATGTCTATCACCTGGTTTTTAAAATTTAGAATCATAGCCTTTTTGCTGGTTTTTAAAAAATAAAATCAGATGGCTATCAATATTTGTCCTCCAAAAAAATGCTAGGCCTAGCTCATTTTACTAGTGAGGTCTAACAAATCTTTGTGGCATACTTAATATCTATCTTATGCAAATTATTCTAGAAAATAGAAAAGGTCAGAAATAGCCATCTCATTTTTCAAGTCAAAGTCTTTTTTTGACACGTTATTTGCTTTTTAAAAATTGAGATATAATTGATGTATAATTGTTTATTTCAGGTGTACAATCTAACAATTTGATATTTGTGTATACTGTGAAATGATCACAATAAGTCTAGTTCACATTACATACACAGCTACAAAAACTTTTCTTGTGATGAAGATTTTAAAAAGGCTAAAAATCTTGATTCAAAACCAGTTACTATGTTGCAGACTTGAAACCAGTATCTTATATATTTTTTTAAAAGGTAAGAACAATATATGAAGAGAAAATTATTGGTCTTAAACATTTATCAATGTAAATGCAAAAAAAAAAAAACCCAAATAAAGTATTAGCTAAACAAATCCAATGAGATATTTAAAACATAGTAGTTTAAGTATCAAAATATTAAATATCAAAACCTAGTAGTTTATCCTGGTAAAGCCAAACTGGTTCAAAATTGGAAAAGGTACCAATGTAATTCACCACATTTAAGGAACTAAGGGAGAAAAATCATCATCTTCTATTGACTGAAAAAAAAGACATTGGCTAAGTGTTAGTGCCTATTTATGAATTTTTTAAAATGTCAAAACTCTTAACAAACATGGAGTAGGATGGAGCTTCCTTAATTTGATAAAGATTTTATATCAACTTTAGACACATCTCTTAAGTGTTGGAAACATATCCTTGTAACATAACTAGTGCTTGTAGGAGAGGAAAATAACTTTCCCTCTATCCTTCTGAGTTCATAGCTGACCCCTGTAATAAAGGACAGATGAACAAGCAAGAGAAAAGTAAACAGAAGTTTATTAACATGTATACCTCATGTACATACGGGAGATACCCAGAGAAAAATGAGTAACTTTCTGAGGTATTTTAGAATTCAGCACAAAATACAAATTTAATAGGGAAAGGGGAGGGAGATGTAGGCCTCTCAGGGGAGAGTAAATTATTTTTAGGAAAGATGAATGGGTCCTTAAAAGAACAGATGGGAGGAGTGACAGTTTGTGATAAAGTGTGTCTGGGGGTGGAGCCAGCTTAGGGTCTCCTTTCCTGTGATGAGTCCATCTTCCCTAGCTGATGGAACTCCCTGGGAGGGGATTATGACCACCGAGCCCCTTTTGGACAATCTGTCTTTAGGGAGATAAGGGGAGTTCAGAGAAAGCCTCTTCCTGCATTGGCTGTTTTTCAAGTGCCTAGAGCTCCAAGTAACTAATATGCCAAGCAGCATATTTTGGGGTGGCATGTTCTGAACTCCTAGAGTCATATTTTGGGGTGACATTAGTCTACTACCCTTTGTTATAAGGAAGAAAAAAATTATAGTAGTTTATTTTATCAGATTGCACACATAACAAAAGTTCCTCAATGATGATTTGTAAAGTGTTGAAAACATAAAAAGGGAAATAAATGTTGTGGACAAGTTTCAACTCCTCTTCCTATATGGGAGAAGTGCTTCATTGTTTATTACATAGGTGAGATGTAATGCTCTGTTTCCCACGATGGATGCTTAGGTGGGGACCTCTTCCATCTCTTAAACTTCAGCCCTTCCACAGCCAGTGAGGTTTGTGATCTTGGCCTAGCCAGTGAGATATTCCCGCCCCGCAACCCTAGACAGGCGGCCCATGCAGGTTTGATTGTGCTGGCCGCGGTCATGTTCAGCAGCTTCCTACTCCTAAGTCTTCCAGAAGGCCTTGACTCCCGCCTGCCTTCTATGTCTGGCATTTGTTTCCTATTGACTTGTTGAACCCATGAAAGCCTTCTTATTTCTTTCATTTTCTTTTCATTTACAAAAGCTTAGTTTTGTGTTGAATGCAGCTAAGAACCTTGGCTGATAGTCCTTTCTTTCTACCACATAGAGGCAATCCTGTTAATATGTAATTCCATTTCTTTCCGGATTTTGCTTTGCATTTTTTATATAATTAAGATCAGGCTCTATACATTTTTGTATTTGTTTATCTAGCTTAATGTGTACACATATATTATTTTAAATGCTACGTAAATTTTAAAGTTTACCTGATTTTTCCACATTGTTTACACTATAATTTCCTTACCCATGATCCTATTGGATATTTGAATTTGTTCCAAAATGTTGGATTACTATAACTAAATCATGGTATATGTTTTTCTCAGTTGTTTCCTTAAGATATTTCCCAAGAATTTTCTTATGATAAATTCCCAAGAGTAGAATTATCATACCCAGAGGTAGGAGTCCTAATATTAAGATTGTGACCAATAAATACTGAAATACATAGGTACTGAGAATGGGTAAAAGGCCCTGGGCATTATAATGCTCAAATGTCTACACTGGTCCCTAAGACATAACCTTACCCTTGCTCTTACAATTGAATAAAAAATTTTCCCATCATCCAGTTTGCAAACAAGCTCTACCAACATATAATCTACAAAAACAAAGAGAGTGCAATGTATTAACAGGAATAGAATATGCTGTGATGGAAAACAGAATGTTAGTTCTAGAAGGGACAGTAGTAACTTTACATATAAATAAATGAAAATTAGACAACACAACTCTTAAGTTTCTCTAGGTTTATAATTACAGTGGTTTGCACAAATAGATAAATGAATCTAAGTACTTTAGGTCAAGATAAACTTTAAAAAAATGTTTTTCTAGATGCAGATTTATTCACCACAAATCAATTCCCTCTAACCGGAGTTGGCTGACCAAGTTTGCAACCACATATATCTGCCTCTAAACTGGAATGAGGTTGCTGACCCAGCAACCCATCCCTAAGTGTCTCTGCTGTCTTCCCCTGGGCGAGTCTTGCCCTCCAGGTCATTCGCTCCCAGACCTGCCAGCAGGCCTGCCCTTCTGAGGACAGCTGCGATGCAGGCTGATAGGCACAACTTCAGGGGGCAGATGGTGGTACTCATGGGGATTCTGGCTACTCTTAGTGGTAGGGCACTAATAGAAATGTTTCCAGGCAAACTGCTCCTTCAGTAGCCTCGAGACCTGATAGACTGGTGGTCTTCATGCCATGAATGTTGGGTGTGTTCTTCTCTGCAAGCTAGGGGTGCTTTGGCATGTGGACATCCTTCTTGGTCACCCTCATTCCTTCCTTAAAAAGGAGTTCATAAATGGTAATCTAGTTCTTAGCAGGTATCAACCTCATCTAGGGCCAGGCCTGGAAAGCCAAGATAAACTGTTAAACCTACGCCTTTATAATGAAAATTCAGTCTGCATCTTAGGACCGGAAGGAACTGCTGGAGGAGGACCCAGTCTCTTCTCATCCCCATATAGGGCTATTCCAAGAAATACATATGAGGAGCCCAATTCCTTGAAAAGGTTGACATACTTGGAAAGGAGAATGTTTTCTTAGTCATAACATTAAAGAAGAACAATAAAGTCCTTTAAAAAGTCTTATTTATGCTTGTTCCTAAAAATGGAAAGGACATAATGGTCAATCCATAGAATCCCCTAATCGATTATTTTTTTTTTTTTGAGAGAGCATCTCTCATATTTATTGATCAAATGGTTGTTAACAACAATAAAATTCTGTATAGGGGGGTCAATGCTCAATGCACAATCATTAATCCATCTCAAGCCTAGTTCTCATCGGTCTCCAATCTTCTGAAGCATAACGAACAAGTTCTTACATAGTGAATGAATTCTTACATAGTGAGTAAGTTCTTACATGGTGAACAGTACAAGGGCATTCATCACAGAAACTTTTGGTTCTGATCACGCATTATGAACTATAAACGAATATAAATATTCGTTTGATTTTTATACTTGATTTATATGTAGATCCCACATTTCTCCCTTTATTATTATTATTATTTTTATTTTTAATAAACTGCTGAAGTGGTAAGTAGATGCAAGATAAAGGTAGAAAACATAGTTTAGTGTTGTAAGAGAGCAATTGTAGATGATCAGGTGTGTGCCTGTAGACTATGTGCTAATCTGAGCTAGACAAGGGGCAATAAAACATCCATGGATGCAGAAGCTT